ATACGGTGAAGAATTGGGACTTATTACTCTGCATCTAAACCAAGTCACAACTACAAAGCCAACCACCAAAGGGGCACAAAAAACACTGATTGACGAAAAAAGGGTCCAACGCAGTGTTTTGCAAGTACAAAGCAAACTACAAAACAAAAGATCTTTCTGCTTGCGCTGGGTATGGAAATTATATAATACACACTCAAGAACATTTTCATCTTATATATATATATATATATACATATATATATATATATATATATATATATATATATATATATATATATATATATATATATATATATATATATATATATATATATATATATATGACAAGAACGCCATTCAACCTAATACGCATGATCTCTGCATGTCACAGATTCTGCATGTGACATGCAGAGATCATGCGTTTTAGGTTGAATGGCGTTCTTGTTGTATATATAATTTATGTGTCCCACATCCATCATCTCATTATTGTTGGTTGTATAAATACTTTTCGGATGAAAAGCTCACTATCAGCTACACTGCGCTGACGATCCCCAAAAGGGCGAAACAGCTGTCCGCAGTTGCTGGTAGTGAGCTTGGGGCACAATTGCCTATAGGCCTTTGCGCTGATTTAAATCTGTGACATGCAGAGATCATGCGTATTAGGTTGAATGGCGTTCTTGTCGTATATATAATTTATGTGTCCCACATCCATCATCTCATTGTTGGTTATATATATATATATATATATATATATATATATATATATATATATATATATATATATATATATATATATATATATATATATATATATATATATATATATATATATATATATATATATATATATATATATATATATCGCCGCGCCGTTTATTTACTGGCACCTTGCTAGTCTTTTTAATTTATCAATTAAGGTAGGCATTTTCCCAGCTGAATTGAAAAAGGCCAAGATTTCTCCAATTTTTAAGAGTGGTGAACGAGATATTTCTGACAATTATAGACCTATATCTGTCCTAACTAGTATTGCTACAGTGTTTGAAAGACTTATTTATGACCAGCTGTATGCATACCTTATACATAATAACTTAATTGATTCTCGGCAATCGGGATTTAGATCGCTTCACTCAACAATGACTGCACTATTAGATATGAATAATGACTGGTGCTTTAACATTGACAGAGGGATGTTAAACGGTGTCGTCTTCTTAGACTTAAAGAAAGCTTTTGACACCGTTGATCATCTTATACTTGTGACCAAATTAGAATATTTAGGATTGGAAAAAATAGCGGTTGATTGGTTTCGATCCTATCTGACTGACAGGTACCAAAGATGCTTTGTCAATGGGTGTTTGTCAGATGAGATTAAAATTACTTGTGGTGTTCCCCAAGGCTCTGTACTTGGACCTCTACTCTTTCTCATATACATCAACGATTTGGCATCTTGCTTTGATCACGGCACTGCACGAATGTATGCTGATGATACAAATTTGTCCTTTTCTGCATGTTTTCCTGTTGAACTTCAGCGTCAAATGGAACGTGATTTAAGAAAACTTAAATTATGGCTTAAAGCTAATAAATTAACTCTAAACGCCTTAAAAACTGAATATATGATTATAGGAACTCGGCAAAAGATTGCTTCATTGATCGACGATGTTGCACTTTCTATTGGAGGTATTTCACTTTGTAAAGTAAGACATGTAAAATGCTTAGGAGTTACAATTGATGAAAATTTGACGTGGAAAAAACATGTTGACAATGTTATTAAAAAGGTCTCAATTGGCATGGGTTTATTACGTAGAACTAGGAATTTTTTGACAAAAAAACAACTCGTTACTATATATCATTCAATCATTGAACCACACTTTGATTACTGTTGCATTGTTTGGGACTCTATGAGTGATACACTGGCAAATAAAATACAAAAATTACAAAACCGGGCTGTTCGTATTATTAGCCGGGCCGATTATTCTGTTAGGTCTGCTGCCCTGCTTGAAAAATTTGGGTTGCCGACTCTAGGTGAGAGAAGAAAACGGTTTAAAATGTCCATGTTGTTTAAAATCTTGAACAATGATGCTCCAACTTATTTGAAAGAGTTATTTAACTATAACGACGGAGCTCAATTCTTTGGGCTACGTAATGCGAATTTAAATCTGTCACTGCCATCAGTCAAAACAGAATTGTATCAACAAAGCTTTGCTTTTTCTGGCGCCAAGCTTTTGAACACCTTGCCAAATGATCTCAAAACAGAAACATCTTTAAAAAATTTTAAAGATAAATTGGCTACACATCAACTCTCTGTTCTCTAATATTGATATATATTTCATATAATTAAATTGCATGCACGGCTTACGGGAAGAACAAGGATGTAAATATGTAAATATGTTTTCTCTTTGATGTAATTACCGTGTTGAAATAAAATTTTTAATAATAATAATAATAATACATATATATATATATATATATATATATATATATATATACATATAGTTTTTCGTTTTACTTCAGAAAACCACAACAGTCTGTTTCATACGTATAGGATGATGATTCCTATATATATATATATATATATATATATATATATATATATATATATATATATATATATATATATATATATATATATATATATATATATATATATATATATATAGTATATATATATATATATATATATATATATATATATATATATATATATATATATATTAGTTGTGTAATTGTACACTCTGCAATATGTTAAGATGAAAATATTCTAGAGTGTGTATTATATAATTTCCATACCCAGCGCAAGCAGAAAGATGTTGTCTGCCGCGGCTGGGTCTCGAACCAGCGACCTTCGAATTGCTAGATCGATGCTCTACCTAATGAGCTACACGGTCAGACGGATTTAAGACTGGAAATTATGAAATATATACTGAATGTCATAAACATACTCGTTTATATTAATTCAGCATCGAACAATACTAGTTCTGCAAGTGTTATGTTAGTTGTGTAATTGTACACTCTGTAATATGTTAAGATGAAAATGTTCAGGAGTGTGTATTATATATTTTCCATACCCAGCGCAAGCAGAAAGATGTTGTCTGCCGCGGCTGGGTCTCGAACCGGCGACCTTCGAATGACTAGATCGACGCTCTACCTACTGAGCTACACGGTCAGACGAATTTAAGACTGGAAATTATGAAACTCATATAATTATAGTTTAAATAAATATAATTTCCAGTCTTAAATCTGTCTGACCGAAAATATTTTCTCAAATCAAGATATTTTTTTTCTTAATAAGAAAATTTTCTTGTTATTCTCCCAAGAAAAAAGTTTTCTTGAAATAAGAAAATTTTCTTAAAATAAGAAAATAATTTCTTATTTTAAGAAAATAATTTCTCAAAACAAGAAATTTTTCTTGAAAAGAATTTTCTTATTAAGAAAATTTTCTTGTTATTCTCCCAAGAAAAAAAATTCTTGAAATAAGAAAATTTTCTTAAAATAAGAAAATAATTTCTTATTTTAAGAAAATAATTTCTCAAATCAAGAAATTTTTCTTAAAAAGAATTTTCTTATTAAGAATGTGTTGTTTGGGTGTTTATATGTACAGGTACTCAGGTGAATATTGTTTTTGATGTTACTCTGAGTGTATATGCAGCTAGCAGAGCATTGTACTAGTATCCCAAAGGTTGTGGGTGTAGTTCTGATTGCACAGCAATGTGTTGTAGCAAATTTAAGTTCTTCTGAAGACTTGAAGCAGTAATTTTTCAACTCTTTCCACATGACAAGCAATATTATCTGACAAACCGTTTGTTCAAAGTCCATAGATTTCTTTATAATGCACATTAAACACTGTTCCAAACACATCATGCAAATGCCACTGGAGATCCATCATATATACATCCTTATACAGCTAGTAATCTGTAAAAGATTACTTACATATTGAGAATGTAAGCATCACTCTAATTATTATATGTGGTGTATACAGAGATATAAATGAATTTATTAGCGATTTTCAGCAGCCTTTCGCGCTTGTATTCGACTTTTCTGCTTTGCTTGGGGGACAACCTTAATTGAATAACTATATATATACACTGCAAAAAATCAATTTCTTGTTTTAAGAAAATATTACTTATTTTAAGCACAAAATTACTTGTTTTAAGAAAATTTTACTTGTCCCGTGGGTAAGTAAAATATTCTAGGTAAGAATCAGAATTCAAGAAAATTTTTCTTAAAATAAGAAAATTAATCTTGGTCAGAACAAAATTCTTGGTAAGAAAATTTTTCTAATTTTGTCCCGTGGGTAAGTAAAATTTTCTTATCAAGAATATTTTTCTTATTTCAAGAAAACGTTCTAGCAAAATTTTCTTATTTCTAGAAAAAAATTCTTAGTTTCCCAATAATTATTTTCTAGAAATAAGAAAATTTTGCTGGAACGTATTCTTGAAATAAGAAAAAGAATCTTAATAAGAAAATTTTACTTACCCATGGGACAAAATTAGAAAAATTATCTTGAATTGAAATCCTGCTAAGAAAATTATTCTAGTTCGATCCTGTGTGCATGGCTTTTAAGAATATTTTTCTTAAATGAGAATATGAAACTAGAATAATAATCTTGGCATGATTTTTTGCTGTTGTCATCCTACAATATAAAAACAATTAAGAATGTTTAAAATAATATATTTACCAGCTATACATGAATAGGTTATTAAAGTAATTACTGATAGATAATTGTAAAAGTTCTCACACGTAGCAATATTGTTCAATTTCTTGAAAAGCCTTTACCATGTCGGACTGCTGAGTCTGGATGGGTAGTCTAAGTCGAGCAGATACAGTAGAACAACGCCAGGAAGTAAAGATGGCCTTTACAGTTTCGCTATTTAGTCTTGTGTATCCTCCTTGCTGGTGATATAGCTACCAATCCAGGTCCGACTTTACCGAATGCGCAGTTTGGCAACCTATCTCCGTCACATCTACAAGTTCCTGTGGACGAGCGCCCTAAAAACGAATTTGGACCAGCCATCGCTCTTGCCAACATGATGTCGCTTGCGCCAAAGATTGATGAGCTGAGATGCTTTGTTGAGAATACAAAACCTGATTTAATTTCATTAACTGAAACCTGGCTCAATGACTCCATTAGCGAGCACCATCTTAATATTCCTGGTTATAATCTGCTATTGAAGAACCGTACTTCTGGTGTCCATGGTGGTGTCGGACTTTACATAAAAAACTCCATCAAGTTTAACGCTTTCACTGACATCTACCACCCTCAACTTGAGGTGCTTTGGACATACATTAAACCCACGCGACTCCCCAGAGGTATACCCTGTGTAATTGTTGGAACTGTGTACCATACACACTACCCTGTAGGTGCTAGTGATAACG